CCGCTAGAGACTGGCTCCAAAAGGGAGGCAATCCCATAGACCCCCCAATGTTAAGATGCCCAACTTTACAGCAGAAAAAAACATGTTTACAGCCTGGTTCAAAAAATGATTTTGGTCTATATAGCTAATTTTGCCCTTCATGACAACTGTGAGGGGGGTGAATTTTTTTATAACTCATCCGTTTAAATTATATTAAGCCTTAAAGTTCTGCATAATTAAGGGCGTGGCCACTTGAGTGACAGGTGGATTGCCGCTGCTGTCACCACCATCGAGCTAGGTGGGCATGGTTTCAACAACCAGCTCCCGCCTCTTTGCCCATCTTCGATTATCCGGGAGTGACACGCTGCCAAGATGGCGACGGCCGCATCCGCCCACTTTTGACCTTCAAAAACTATCTTTGGAACCATACGGGTGATGTCACGGACACTACGTCCATGTTTTTATACAGTCTATGGTTATGTCCCTTACCATATTGTGATGCCTGCGGCAACCACATGTGACGACCCCGGGCTGGACTCCGCTTCGTCCATGGTGAAAGCCGATCCGGCGATCGACAGCGCGAAGTTGATGTATTTCCTCAGCGACCAGTACGGATCAGCTCCAGGCATGACGAAGCAGATATCGTCCTCTTTTGGAAGGCCAAACAAAGTAGTTTCGCTTTCACAACGAAACACACAGCGCCTTCACGACATGGCGGCGGCAACAACAATACTACAGCGAGAATAAAAGTTACGCCTTCTTTCTTTGCTGAACATTTGGGCCGCGTTATGCAAATCTTCCCAGATAGTTACGTAGGTATGTGGGGGCGTGTTAGAACGAGCCGTTTTAGGTAGGCGTGGTTGACTCTTAACTTTTATAAAGAATATCTCTTTGGATTTGAGACTTTAGTCTTTGCAACTTTACAGATCTTCTTTATGCACCAAGAGCTTGTAACACTCCAAAGAGAAAGGAAAAATTGAAGTCGCATCATATGACCCCTATAAGTAACGCAAGACAAAAAAAAGGAGATTAGAGCATTAAACCATCTCATTTTAATGTTTAATGCTGAGAAGGACTCTAGCCTTGAAGCCTCAGAAGGACTGGACTAGGAAGGATGCATCCTCACTAGGATGCAGCCTTTTATTTAAGAAGCACTCGCCTTGTGGAGCTGCCGGTGTGCATACGGTCATAGAAAACAATGTGTTTGGATTTTAAAGATGTGGCACTTCTCTCAGCGTGCGATCTCCTTTACGCTTTGTTTTGCTAGCATTTGAGTTTCCTTTTAGGGGAAGGGTTCTGATAGCAATGCCATGCAAAATGCAAATAGAAAAATAAAATAATTTAGAAAATAATTTCTGAATCATATCCCACCAAACTGGCTATAGTGTTGGTATGTGTTACCCACCACGGTCGATTTTCACCTGCATTTGGTGGGTTGCCGGGTGTTAATTTCAAATCCTTCTTACATTCAGTGTATATGGTTGCCACAAGTGGCACAATTTGGAAAAATAATTGAGAACCTTAAGAACCTTAAGAATTGAGAAATGAGTCTTGGCGATTGTGAAAAACCGGGTGTGCACTGTCCTGCCCGCGCCACCTCCTCATTACAGTTTAGGCTGCTATTTGTATGCACCACAGAATATTTGTATAACCAGACTGTCCATGAAAGATCTTTATTTGCTAGAAGCCAGAACAGTTGAAGTTAGTCAGATCACAAAATAAAATGTGCACTAGCTGCTAAAATGTTGGCCCATCCATTGATGAAACATTTTTCCTGTTTTATTATCAATTTTCCTCCAAGACAAGAACTCGATACTTTCTTATTGCAGTTACACACCAGCCAAGTGAAACAAACTTTTACTTAATGGTATATCTAATTTTAATCACTATGCTGCGTTAATACCCATAATCTCCATATACAAACTCTTTTCCTTTTAAGCAGCACTTCAATATATGAAAACAAACAACTGCTGATTAGGGTAGGTAAAGATTAGAAGGGAACCATGACATTAAAGGCATGTTGCCTACATTGCCACCAACAGCCTACATTGTAATAATTTCTGTAATTCTCTCAAAAATGGCATAGGTTATATACCCGCGGTGTGTTCAGCTTCACCAAATCCATGTAAAACAACAACAAAAACAATAAATGACAAAACACTTAAATCTCATAATCATTACTGGAAGGTGATTAGGTATTCTGGATAAGCCTGTACATCATTAAAGATCACAAACATGGTTGGGTTTCTCATGTTGTCAGTCACACTGTTATAGAGATCAGCACTATTGGAGCTCCTCGCAGGGGGAACAAGAAGGCCTCTTTTTCCTTGAGTGAAATCGCCAACAAGCACCCTGACAAGGTACATGCGTTTATGTCCTTTGGCATCAGGTGCAGAGTAGCCTTGGGCTGAGTAATGTGGGTCCACAGCAAAATATGAACCATTCCCATACATGGCTCCTAAAACAGAACAAGAGAAATAGACTATTGATTTAAAAGACAAATGGATACAAGTGCAAATAAAGTTTATATTGAATTTGACTGATACCATTCATGCCAGCGAAGCTGCGATTGAAGCCATGATTGTTGATCTGATCTGTCTTATCAGGGCCAGTGCCGTGGAAGAGACGCTTTTCATTGTTTTTGTGCTTGTTTTTGTCTTCCAGTTCCTCTTTTTTTATCATGTAGTTTTTCCAAAGTGCGTTGTTCTGAACTCTTTCAATCTACAAGCAAAAATAAATATTTAGTTTAGGTAAACATTAGATTTACAACATACTGTAGTACTAAAAAGCAACACCAGAACCTGTCGAAACTAATAAATAGGAGATTTATCTTCAGTCTAATCTTACTTCAATTATTTTAGAGTTTAGATTGGTTCTCCTGAACTCCTTCTCCACTTCTGCATATTCCTTTGAGCCTGCTGTGAGTTTTACAAGAACAACTGCCTGTCCTTTCATGTCCTTCCAGTGTGAAGGCAAAGGGCTTTGAGCAGCAGCTGCAGCTGCAACTATTGACAAAAAGAACAAAAAACATGAATAACTAATACATTATCTATGTTATCTGAATTATAAAATAATCTCACCTTGCAGATCTACTCTGTTCAGTTCAATCCTTATTCCTCTTCTTGTGGCCTCATTGCGAGCTAAATTAGCCTCATATTCATCATTATTAATCTTGATTCTCACTGTAGACTGTCTCTTCTGAAAGGCCTGTTCCAGCTCATAATTGGTCAACATATCAAAGGTTTTGGGGCTGTGTCCATTCTCCTGATATTGCCAACTAACTATACTGCTGATTAAAAATGCCTCACTTCTTCGGATTTCATTCCTTTCCACCTTTCTGGTCATGTCCCGAATGCGACTGTCTGCAATCTGAACGTCTCTTGTCAGGCCCTCCAGTGTGATGACAGAGTCTTGGCCTTTCTTCTCAAGCCGGACACTGACTGTGAGCTCTCTCTGCATGGCATTCAGTGTTTCTACATCCTCCCTGGTGAAATGAGCAATGGCTGGATCATGGATTGGGATGGTCACATGCTCCCGTAATATCAAACTGTTGACCATGTCCCTGGCTTCACTCAGGTCCTTTGGTGTCTCACCACACAGTTGAAACACAACTGGCTCAATTTCTTCACCGACCATCACAAACTCTTCATTTTTAGGAGATTCTGAACTTTCCCCCCAAAGTAAATGATGAACAGTATCTTGATGAAAAGAAACAGAGGGAATCATTACTTTATTTAAAAAAATAAGAATGGATGGTATTAGCATACATTTTATAATTCTCTACTGACCTTTAATTTTGGTAAGCAGACCTTTATCCTCCTCTACTTTCTCACCAGATCTTCTGACCATGCTTTGGTGGAAGTCTGCCACCATGTTTGTCTGGAATATAAGAAATTTCACAAACTTTACATGCACTGGTTTCTTTTTCTTTACAAAGTCGACAACTGCATCAACCATTGCATCTGCAACATCAGCTGGATTTGCACCACCCTGACCTAAAGAGTTAGAAAAAACAAGCAAACCAAAAAAAATTAGTGAATAATTTCACAAAACATATAAGTAAAAAAAGGTTTAATTAAATGTACAATAAGTAAATAAGCAAAATTCTTATTGCAATTACGTAAAACGTAAAATCATACAAAATGCCTTACCAGTGCCAAGAGCTGGGAAAGCAACAGAAGTAATCTGGCTTGACTCACATAACTTCAGAACAGACAAAACAAGATCCTTAATTTCAGACGGACTATTGCGTCCAATAACATGGATGATGTTTCCACGTGGAAGCCGCCCGGCTGAGGTCACAATCTCTGTTTGCTGCATGTTTGATGATCCCACTATTGGCAAAAAATGTTTACCAGTAGCATCTAAAGTTTATTAGATCTCTCTTAAAGTATAAATCAAAAAGTCATGAATTCAAAAAAGGTAATGACCAACAACAAGATGTAAATCTAAAGGAATACAAACCAATCTGTGAACATTCTTGTACCACTTGTACTCCAGCTGCATCTAAAATGGCCTTGGATACTCCTGGATTACAAAGATAAATTAACTGTTACATTATGATTATCTTTGAATGTGAATTAATTATAAATGATTCACTGAAACAGGTAAGACAGTGAGCGTGAAGATGGATTAACCTGCTTTCAGAGAAAATGTCTGATTTGAGGAGTTGACAATGGCATCGGTTTTTTCTTTAGTTATGTCTCCTGATGAAACCTCCAGAGTCACTTGACCCAGCTGCATAGTGTGCACCCCGAGAGAGGGAGAGGAGACCTTGCCAATTACCTCTAAAGATAAGAAAATAATATGTTCATAATGAAGTTCAAAAGAAAAATATTTGTGATGGACATCAGATAAGAAAGTGTTACCAGAGGTCTGAGCTGATTTGCTAGAAATATTCATTTTAGGCATGACATGTGCTCCTTTTGTGATGGGACCCTGAATCCCTTGTCTAAAGATGCTGATAAAGCACTAATAGATAAAGCACAGAAATATACAAGATAACATTAACATGAGCAACTATGTTAAATTATTTAAATAGTTTATAGTTCAAACAATATAAGTATATATATTGCTCATACGGTATGTGATGGGAAAACTCAACTTTGAGTTTTTATGGTTCTTGAATCAAGTTTTCACACTCACCTCTACACTCTCCTTGTCAGAAGGGTGCACAATCACAGTTACCTCTCGAAGGTTTGTAGGCTTATATTTCTGGACTTCTGTCAGCATGATTCTGGCCACCAGATCTTTAGGAAAGCCAAGATTCCCAGTCCCGATAGCTGGGAAGACGACTGAAGCCATTTTCCACTTTTCTGCTTTTTTCAGGCAATATCTAATGATCTGAATGAGCACCTATTAAAGTGTAAATAAATATATATATTATAATCTTTAAAGAAAGTACCATTTGAATAAATAAATTAAGCACATTTGCAATATCATTTAATCCTAAACACAGCCAGCTGTAACTGTTAATGATGATTTTGTTAAAATTCAATTAGGAAATTGTTTTTCTCACCTTATCTTCTGAGCCTTGTCTCCAAAATGGGCAAACTACATGGAAGACTTTTTGACATTTCAGTTTATAACCATTTGTGATGACCACTTCACCATAATTCACACTGTTTGAGCGAGCAGCTGTGTTGATTTCTGACTGGAGCTGATAACCAGCAGTCTCAAGGAGTGCTTTGGAAATGGCACCTTTTCTGAGGTCCAAGTCCTCCGATATAGTGTTTACAATGACATCGGACTGCAGGAGAAACAAAGGAGACACTTCTGTTGAAGGATTTGGTCACCGTTGATTATAATAAAAACTGTATAAAATACTTCACTTTGATCAGACTTGAATGCAGGTACAGCAAAAGCACATTAGTAAGAAAATAGTTAATAAAATAAATTCACTGCACAAAAATCTTGTCTAACAAAATTTACTTGAGATGCAACATAGCATAAAATTAAGCAAGGGTGTAGCTTGCAGGGTGGGGGGTTCAGTAAGAAAGCATGTGGTACACTTGAATATGGCACACAGAATGCGACTGACCAAATCGACTGTCTCAGTTTTAACTTTTAACTTCTTTAATTATAACTCAAAAACCTTTTTTTAAGGATTTTTAGATATTTTTACAGGAAAACAAGCTGTGATTTTTCTGTCAGCTTTTTATAATTAACGATTCACTTACACTGGCATCCTGGATGTTCCCTTTGCTCAGAATGATTTTTAGTCCCTCTTGTGTAGTTTTCCTCTCAAGTACACTTAACCCTTCAAATTTATCTGATCTGCCACCGTAGTTTGAGGTTTCTCTTCTCCAGTGTTCTTGTCCCTCAAAGTCTCTATTACCATGACTTTTGGGATCTTCAAACTCTTGGTTTCTTTGGCCATAGTTTCCATGACCACGACCACGGCCATTTTCACGATAGACATGCCCATAGTCACTATGCCCATGGGGTTTGGTTTGATGAGAGAAAGTCATTTTGGGGTTATAAGCAGCAAACTCTTTACTGACAGCTTGAGTCATGGCATTCACAGTGCTGCCATTATTGTCAACCAAGTGAATTTCAGTTAAGGTGCTATTAGAGGCTCTGTGGTTGTGATCTTCAATGTACTCATGCACCTCATTGGCAATTGATTCAGTGCAAAGGTCGAGAGGACAACCAAATATCCCTGAGCTAATAACTGGAATTGCAATGGAGGAGCAGCTTCTGCTTGACGCCTGATTCAGACTTTCCCTCACAGCACGTCTCAGGCGTTGAATAGTGGTATGTCTGTCTGAATCACTGAAGCGAGGTCCAACAGCGTGCACCACATATTTACAGGGTAGACGACCAGCAGCAGTGATGATTGCATCTCCAGGCTTCAGAGGTCCATTTGCTTTTGTGTGTAGGTCACAGTTTTGCTGCAGACTTGGTCCAGCAGCTTGGAGAAGTGCTAAAGCTAAACCACCGATGTGCTTCAGATCTTCATTAGCAGCATTGACCACGGCATCAACATGGAGCTTGCAAATGTCTGCCTTCCTGACAGTAACAGTTACTCCACCTGGCATTCGAACCTCACAAGAGACCTGGCCAATATCTTCAAAACTGCCTACAGCAAATTGATCTTCCTCCTCTTCCAGCATGTCATCTTCCTGAAGAACAACCACAAATCTTTGTTCCTTCAACAGCACTGAGACCATCATTTTACCCTGCTCCTTGAAATACTTCTTTGCTCCTGCCTTTTTAATGATAAGTGTGTCTGTGTAGAGACCATCTGCCAAAGTTTTAAAGAGAGTCATAGCTGGCTGAACAAATGTACGCTTTCCAGACAGTTTGATCCTGGGTCTCTTTGGATCAAAATTGACTTTCACTTCATCAGACTTAATAAAATGCTGCCAGTCTTGTGACTTTCTAACTTTTATGAATTCAACCGCTGCATGTGATTTGACACGAATGGTTTCTTCAATTCTAGTGTGTTTCTCAATTAAACATCCTAAATTCTCACTGACCTCCATCACTGGTTCTCTGAATCCAGTCACTATTACTTTTTCTCTCTGCGAAAGGTTTATAGACACAAATCTCTTTTTTTCCAGTTGTTTTTTGAGTTCCAGCCACTCTGGCATTTGAAGGACACCCTGGTCTTCTACAGTGAGGTATTTGGTTGTGAAAACTGTATTCACCCTTTTCTCTGCCTCATTAAGTGCTCTTTCTGTGCTCCCAATCACAAGAACATCTCCATTTTCGATTGTGTAGACAGCAGTTATTCCATGAGATATGAAGAGCTCTCTGGACATTTCATCACAATCCTCTGATCTCAGAAACTCCAGGACTGAACGGTCAATCTGTAAGCGCTTCTGTTTCATATTTATTTTCTTCTCAAGGACCCAATTTTTGAAGTCAAGAGTTTCTGTATAAAGACCTGATAAAATGAGTCTGTTCATTGTTTTGTTGTAGTCAGTGTGCAGGTGTGGAGAAACAGCATTTTGCAGGCCATCTCGTTCAAGCAGAGTGTACACAGCAGGAGAAATCTCCAAATATTCAGTCACACTCTTCTTTTCTCTCTCTATTTGATTTGTTGCTCTCTCTAAAATTTTCTCCATGATGGGTTTCAGTCCAGTTATCTCAAGGGTCACTCCTGCCAGTGTCAGCACTCCTCTAGAGGCATCCATATCTGTGAAAACCTGATTTTTTACTTCTTTCTTAATATCACTCTCCACTTTAGTCCACAAGGCGTGGGACACCGGCCACTCAGATGTTGTGTAGTTTGAGATGATTTTCTTGAAGGCATCAATGGTATTCTTACTCCAGTCATTAATGTGTCTTCTGGTAACTCCTTTCTGTTTCAGTAATGCTGGATCAGGACTGAGCAAAACTTCAGGTTTGTCCATGTTTATTTGGCAGAAGCTCATCCGGTCTTTCATAGAGGAAATCTGCCCTTTCTTGAGGATGAACTCCCTGATGGCAGGATGTACACTGACTGTAACTGGTTCAGGCAGCTTCAAATGTGGTCTTTTGCCACCATATAAGACAGTATCAAGTGATTTGAAGTAGGGATATATCTTCACTGGAACATCGCAGATGTTATTCTCTCGCTTCAAAACTCTCTCTTTGGCTGAAAAACAATAAAAGTTACAGGTACAAATGTATAACATTGGAATAACTGCATTAACATTGGTTTTACCACATTTAGAACTGTAACAGCAAAGTCTACCAGCAATTGCACGTGTATTTACCTTCTTCCTCCTTAAAGATAATAATGGCTGCTTGTTCTGATGGAATTGTGATAACTTCCACTACTGGACCGCCCCATTTCTCAAAATACAGTTCCAGCAGCATCTTGTTGTTGTTGGCCTCAGCTGAAAGATTCTCCACTCGCACACTTGTGCTTCTCTCCAGTGCACGGGCCCTCAGATTCTTCTTCTTGAACTTTTCATGTGTCCTGCTGTCCTCAAGGAATTTTTCTGCAGCTGTAAGAATTTTTTTTTTTTTAAATGTGCCAGACACATTTAATAAAACATAAAAAACATTAATTTGGCAAATTATCAAAAATTAAATTTTCAGATACACAAACTCTTTCCCCTGTCCAAAAAAAGACCACCATGTAAAGTGTCATGTAATCAAGATTACTAAATTAACTTTTAATTTGTAAAACATGTTTAAATTATGATAAAACATACAAAGGAATTTATATTTTACAGTAAAACTTACCACTGGGATTTTTAAAAGTCACAACTGCTTTTCTTAATTCTGGTATTAATTCTACGCTAAAGTCATTTTCAGAAAGACTGCTGATGTTCTCCACCAAAAGACTTAAAACATCTTGTTTGATATCATCTGGAAGGTTCTCCAGGACCACAGCACTTGACTCTTGAGGCTTCTTCACATCCACATCAGTCTGCAGGACACTTTGATCTTTAGGAAAAATAAAAGTGACACATACTTTATTCAATCTCAATGCTAAATATTTTTTTGTATAAAGTCAGCTAGCAGTGTCAGCTACAGATAACAAACAAAATAATATTTTGTATCAATTATTAACAACATAACCAGGCACGTGCAGAAGGATGGGGGGAGGGGAGGGGGGGTTTGGAGGCTCAAGCCCGGCCCTTTTTAAAAAATATTCAAAAGTGCCCCTCTCAGACAAATAGCAATGATATTGTTGTCAATAAAACAAAATGCATTTGAATTATAATTAACATGGCAATGTGTAAAAAAACAGCAACTAATCGCTCAAAAGTCAGAAAATTCCTGTTTATTTTTACATTTCTGTCAATATGAGGCGTTGCTATGGGTTGCGTGCGTTTTGCTTGACTGACTGATATTCCACAGTCTGTTCGGAAACCATAGGCTCTCAAGCTATACAGTGGGTACGGAAAGTATTCAGACCCCCTTAAATTTTTCACTCTTTGTTATATTGCAGCCATTTGCTAAAATCATTTAAGTTAATTTTTTT